TCAGAATAGGCGTTATTCCTTGTAGAGTGATGTTTACAGAAGTCGGAATAATCCGTCCTTTATTTCAAATTTATTTCGAAATAACAGAATGGCTGTGTAGATGCTCACATTGTTATTTCGAAATAATGCTTGTTATCGTGAAATAATGGTGCAGTGTAGACACACCCTTTGAGGGAAGGGGAAAGGAGCGTTCCAGTAGCAGATCTTGAAGGCAATTGAAGAAGCTCTAAAGCTAGGCCTGAAGCCAGGCAGATAGCCAGACGGGAGTTTTTGGGTTACTTGTAGAGTAAGCCAAAGATAAATAGAAAGCTTCTTGTGGCTTTGACACTGACACACATCTGTTGAGAGAGACAAATATGTAACTTGTGTGGCACTTTTTACTCCATTATTGGAGTGTTACTGGCAATAGAAGAGCAGCACTTCTGTGAGGGACTAGATAGCCTGGTACCTGGAGGGCAGGATTGTCAGATCCTGGGACAGAGGCTATGTTTTAATTCTGTGTTTGCAGTGCACCTTCCACAGCAGTGTCTCGATATCCATGACTTGGGGCTTCTAGGTGCTTTTTGTAATACAAATAATAATTCACAATAATGGAGGTGCCTTTTATGTTGCTCCTCTGGTATGTTAATTAGCACTCAGCTAGTTAATCAGGTAAATGTAACTTTATAAACTTATTGAAGGAAATAAAACACAGGCAGCTTTTTATTTGGTTGATCAGGAGACAGGAAGAACTCTTCCTCCAACCAAAATACAATTTCATGCAGTTAAGAAGCGAAATGTGTTTTCAGGCCCATTCTTGTGCTGCTTGTGAGGATCTCCATCGCATTGTAAAGATTAAATATGTGCACGCAGTGCCCTCCTCTGGAGGCATAAGCATTGTCACATTACTGCCAAAATGATAGGCTTTCTGTGGCAAAATCAGCAACCCTATCCTGGAGTCATAAACCCCACCAGAGGTCAAATGTCTAACAGCTGACATGGAATGTGACTAACCCCATCCTACATCAGAGATTTGTAAACCCTTTGCTCATAGGCCACTTCTGAGTAATAAATATCAAAGCATCAGTAAGCAAATAAATCTCAAAGGATTATCATCATCCTGGCTTAAAATGTGTATTGATTTACAGCAGCATGCACATGCATCTATACGCATATCCTCACTAGCATAAACCATGTATACCTATGGATAGCTGAACATACTTCCATCCAGTGATTTTTTTTTTAGGTGTTATGATCACAAATCTAAATCTGAGAGTATTCTGAATCCTATCAAGAATGAAATCTGAATTAAATCAAAAGGTGAAAAAATAATTCACAGAATATAAGGTTCAGATTGTTTTTCACTGTCATTTTAAAGTGAGAACATTTTAATTAAAAATCATGATAACCATGTGTGGGGAAGTGCTGCAGTAAGTGGAGGGTTATTTGCAGGTAGTCTCACACTTAACAAAGTAATAGAGATGTAGCCCTGTTAGTCTGGTCTTGCTGAAACAAAAGACAGAACTATGCAGCACTTTAAAGACTAACAAGATGGTTTATTAGGTGATGAGCTTTCACAGGCCAGACCCACTTCCTCAGATCAAATTGTGGAAGAAAACAGGCATGACCATATATACCAAAGGGATACAATAAAAAAAAAGTGAACACATATACAACTGACAAATCAGATTTTAGAACAAAGAGGGTGAGTGGGGGGTAAGTTAGTGACTATGAAATACAGGCAGTCCCTGACTTACGCGGATCCGACTTATGTCGGATCCGCACTTACGAACGGGGCTTTCTCGCCCCAGAGGTCGAGGTGGCGGATTGCTACCCGCGAGCTCCGGGGCGAGAAAGCCCCGTTCGTAAGCTGCTCCGGTGCCCCTAGATTTTAGAACAAAGAGGGTGAGTGGGGGGTAAGTTAGTGACTATGAAATACAGGCAGTCCCTGACTTACGCGGATCCGACTTATGTCGGATCCGCACTTACGAACGGGGCTTTCTCGCCCCAGAGGTCGAGGTGGCGGATTGCTACCCGCGAGCTCCGGGGCGAGAAAGCCCCGTTCGTAAGCTGCTCCGGTGCCCCTGGTCTGCTGGAGACCATCTCCAGCAGACCAGGGGCACTGGGCAGGTTCCCGCGCTTCTGAGGCTTTGCCAGAGCAAAGCCTCAGAGGCGCGGCACCCCGCTGCCGCTGTGGCTCTGCTCCCCGTGTCCCTGGTCTGCTGGGGGGAGGGCGCGCAGCTAGTGTGCCCCCCCCAGCAGACCAAGCTTTTGTTTTGGACCCTGGGGCAGAGCAGCTGGGGCGCTGCCGATTGGTCCTGCAGTGCCGCTCCTGGCGA